GAACAATGAAAAAACTCGCTGAGTGCCAACTTTAAACAGCAAATTATGCTAGTTTCATTTTACATTATAGGATTGGGAGTCATTTTCAACGCATCTTTTAAAAAATGGAGTATATAAAGCAATAAAAAACTTTTCACCGCAGTATCGCAAAATGCCGGATGAGGCGCAAGCCCGCAATAACAATGGACAGCAATGACGTAGCGGTTGACCTAATATTTACGTCGCAATCTGCCGCAAAACTCGCCACCATTTGTAATCAATGTAATAATACTCCACCGGCATTTAGGTCAGGAGGCTGATGTGTACCGAATGATCGTTTCATGTCCAATAGGTTCCAGACCGAGATAAATATGACGAACTTATGACGTCATAAAATATTTCACAAGTTTAAATTGTTAAATATTGCTGTTTAAGTTCGTCTTCTATATTTCATCATCTAAAATATGTTCGTCGTTATATCCCCGAACTAATATTTCAGCCGTGTTGGGTCGCCGAAAACTGGAAATGCTTTTACCCAAAGAAAGTTCCGTCATTTAGGAACATAATAGGGTCAAATTATGCAAATTTCATCATGGGGAAGCTGGTAATGACATCTAATTATCGTGTTCGTTTTAATTTTTCAAAAACGCCGTTCAGTACGTTCCACTAATCCAAGGAAAATTATGCGGAAACGCGAGTATTGTTTTCTCTGATTAAACAATAGAAATAATAACATTAAATGAATAAATAAATGTGTAATAAAGATAAAACATGTATTTTGTATTATGTAAAAAAGAAAAATAACATAGTGGGAAGTCGATAAATGGATAATAGGGTCTTTTTCACCGTTTATTCTGGAAATGTTCTATTTTTTTTGAAGAGTGCGCACCTGATAAAAAGTAACACCTACGGCTGAATCTAGCCTTAATTTTTTACTATATACTATTTTAAACCTCACATATTAAGATTTACAAAAGAAACATGTTACGTCTATAAGATTATTATATATTATATTATTATATATATTATATATTATATTCTTATTATAAGATTCCTAAAGGGCCATTTAAAACTCATAATTAAATTGTGACTTAAAGAAAATAATTTCAATTAAAAGATCTGCCGGCGACTTTGCTGGATGATTAAAATTATCTCATTAAAACTATATCAATTAAATTTTTCTACTCTCCACTCTAAAATATCCTATTATGCACTAATAAGACTGATAAGGCGTGCGTGTGATTTAAAGCTTTATTAAAGATTGTTGAGAGCCATTTCGGGAGTTTCCGACAAATTACTTTGGAAGTATGGTTTTAGTAGATTTTAAACACTAATGACATTTTGATGTTGGTAAATTCTAATGATCACGTCACATTTCAAGATCGCAAAAATCTCTATGAAAGGTAAACATTGATAAACGTCTTCACACATACGTTTATTATCAGTTAATAAACAATAAAATGACATAAGGGTGAAATCTCAAAAGGAGTGCAAAAAGTCTCTAGCAAAGTGGATAATTACAGAAAATCAATGCAGAAACGATGAACATAAAATTTTAGGGCTTGAATTTTTGATTGTTACTTTTTCATTGATGTTTTTTTCTAACAATTTTATTTTATCTGCCTTTCGATACAATTAAATGGTTCTACAGTTACGTTCTTATCAAAAAATAAATTGCAACCGTTTAAGCAAATAAAACAATTAATACAATTATTACAAGAATAGCTGCACTGTTTACTAAACCATACTTTTTAAATTTATTTCTTTTCAAAACGAGCAAAACTTTTCGATATGCACTCTAAAATATGACTATTTTTTATTGAAGCACAAGAGTCACAACTTTATCAAAGGAATTAATATTTTTTTATTTCTTTAATAATTTTATGTTTACTTTATTTATTAAATGGTTCTACTGTTACGTTCTTATCAAAAAATAAATTGTAACCGTTTCACCAAATAAAATAATTAATAGAATGATTACAAGAATAATTGCACTGTTCTCGAAAGCATACACAGAGAGAAATTTTTCTCACACTGAATTAAAATAAGCTTTTGTTGAGACAAAATTTATATTTTTACGTTAATTGACTTACCTAAAATACTTAATTCAATAACCCACAATTTTGTAAATTATATATTGTAAGTATATATTGCAAATTATATTCTTACAAGTTGTGCTGAAAATTTCCACAAACCAACATTAACAAGATATATTTTATAATTTATAATTTATTCCCTGAATGTTTTTTTTTTGACACTCCAGCAGGAACAGGAAGGAGCTGACACGCTGCGGGACGAACTATGCCATTTGTATTGTTATAGGCTGCTTGTGAATGTGGATAATAGATAAATTATTATCTGAATGGGAGGGGAACATCTTGTTCCGGTGTTTCAAGGTATGTAGAAATTAAATTATTTAGTATGTAATAGATCCCTCAAACTTAAAAAAAGGAAACCAAATTTTGAGTCTAGGGAAACTATTCTTCTTCAATTAAAGGTAAGTACATCGTTTCTATTGAAGAAAATAAATTTATAGTATGGGTTGTTTTAGACATCTGCTCAGATAGAAGAAGCTATAAGTGCAAAAAAGAGAAAGTAACAAAATATTGCATAACATTAAAACTCTTTACCATTGCAGAAACTCCAACAGTCACTAAGGTTACATGTACATTGCCCTTGCTCTTGCAAATTAATATCTCTAGATATTCTAGGTTATATTGGCGAAATTGTAAAATTACTGTGCCTCGCAATTCAATTCAAACGAGCCGAATACCACAAACCGAAGAAACCGACCTGAAGATAGCAAATTTGCGTTTGCCAAAACGTCGACTTTCGCTACATTTCGTTAAATTAAATATTATTAATTTTATATTGCTTGAAATATTTAACTTTTATTGCTTCAACGAAATGTTCTCGCAAATAAATAATAATTGTAGATAGTATATCCCTTCTCGCAATAAATAAAGTCAAATCCTATTAATACCAAAATAGTTCTTGTAATAGTGTAAGACTTATCTTGGCAAAATGAATTTTATTGCAACAAATACATTTTAGTGGAAATTCCGCTTAAAAAAAAATTCCCCGAATTCGACATTTAATTGCTCTATACGAATTAAATTATTTACTTAGAATAAATGTGCTTTATTTTCAGGAACTAATTCTTTTTCTCTGCGTACTTTTTAAATTTATTTCCTTCCAAAACGAACAAAACTTTTTCATATGCACTCTAAAATGTGATTATTTTTTATTGGAGCACACGGGTCACAACTTTATCGAAGGAATTGATATTTTTTTATTTCTTTCTTTTATGTTTACTTTACTATTTTAACGAAATAATTTATTCCATTTAATTGATGAATATAAAATAGATCTTCGAATACCATTGTTTCATAATACATTATTTAATATCAGGTGCCATTGTTGAAATTTGCATTAATTACAATTCGTAAACTTTTGGGTTCCACAAAACTAAGGATTCTATGGAAAACACCCACAAATCAAGGTCTCAAACATTTGAGTCTATTGAAAATGAATGAAATGAAATCTAATATCTCGATTTCCGGAACTATTCGTCGAACGAAGATACACATCGATTCTTAATTTCGTTGATTTCTTTCTAATTATAACGGATATGAGAAAGCAACGTCACCGATATGTTGAACGGGAAGGGGCAATGAATACTTATAGGAAAAAAAAGCAGAATGGCTCTTGTTTACTAGTTCAGAGGAACTGTTGTAGATGAAAAATGAAAAATTGAAGTGTAGTGTGGTTTACATTTGCAAAAAAAAAGTCTGATTTACCGCCCAGTATAATAAAAATCATACAATACAGTCGACAGTCTAGCAATTTGTTAGATTTTATTGCAAAGATCCACACTAAGGCTACATATGATATTATTGATTCGAAATTAGGTCGGCAAGAAGAGTTTGGACTGATTACAGCCTCGTTCTTAAAATAAATAACCTAGATCCGTTTTTAGCGTAATTTATACACATATTTTAATGTTTTAATGTTTCGATGCGCCACGGCTCTCTAGACAACTAAAAATGTACTACACAATAATAATGTGTCAATTCATTGCGCACTTATGTGCCGAAATTATGATTTATAAAATTCAAAAGCTTTTATTCTATCAGGCAATTTTAATTTTGTTTTGTTATATCACTATTCTATCCATATATCAGGGTGTGTACGATTAGGTGTAGACATTATCTTTTAACTCCTGTATTTCAGTCAGGTGTCTACTTATTTTGTTATATACTTAGAATGTGATTGATTAATTCCATTAGCTGCAGGTAATCAAGAAAAGGTCAGATATAATACAGCCCATATGAAAACAAGAAATGTTGTTAAAAGGTTATTTTAAAAAAAAAAATCAGAAATGTTAATGATGCCGAAGGAAGATTAGGTTCTTGAAGGCATTTCATTCATCAACATTTTGTGTACATTAATGTAACACAATAATGTTTTAATCAATAATTTTATAATATTGTACATCAATAATTTTTGAATGTTCTTTATTCTTCACATCCGTTTATATTAATTTACATTTGTTACTTCTTTTTTAATAATAAAAAATAAAAAAGAAGGGTTCATCCCTCATTGTGAGTATATTTTGACTGAACTGCACCTTCTATTCTTAAAAACAAAATGAAAATGCAAAATTTGAGGTTAACTTCTTCTTTTTCTCTGTGTACTTGTTTAATTTATTTCCTTTTAAAACGAACAGCTTTTGATAAGCACGCTAAAATGTGAAATGTAAAATTTGAGGTTAACTTCTTCCTCATTTTTGTTTCGCATCTCGTAAAATAAGTGCGACATCAGTTGAGAATTCCCAAAGCATCGTATATGAAACGCTAGTCGTACTTGAGCTTGAGTTTCGATTGATGCGTGCTGAACGTAAGCGATTGATCAAGGCGAACTTCGGTCACGACGGTAAATAGTAGGCCTCGTCACTCGGAGACGGGAATGTAAGCGAGATGGAAAATGTTTGCGCCGATCGTTACGCGCATTGCCTTCGCTCCCACTTTTGGGAGAGAACGTGCCAGCACAGTGTGGACTGAACGGCAGTTGGGTATTTGCTAGATAACGGAGCGCGTACAGTGAAGTATTATTTATTCGAAAATTGTTGAAGTTTGTGTTGGATTACGTTCGAAGCTGTTGCGAAAGTTCCATTAGTAGATTAACAATGACTGGGCGAAAATCGGGACATGTTTGTGCGGTTAGAAGTTGCCGCAATAAGCGATACAATTCAAAAAAGAGATTTTTTTGCTTTCCTAAACGAATTGAGAGGTAGGTAGCATTTTTTATTGTGCATGCGTTGAATATGAAACATTTTGAGTGTTTACCTGCATCAAACACAGAGTTTCAGGAACAGCAAACAATTTTTTATGAGATATTTCAAATACAAATTCGCTCCGAATCGGCCAATATTATCATTATTGTAGTAATAGGGAAAGATTAGAAAAATTAAATTTGACTGTATAGTTTCTCATTATGTTACGTTTTTAAAATATCCGTATATATGTTCCTATTAACTACGTCATTTATGTTGTTAATAAATCTACTTCTAAAATAAGTTTTTAAATATTTTCAAATTGAATTTGGACTTAATGGGACAATCGGCTACCTACCTGATATATTACCTATTATTATCACTTTGCTCTCCTAGACCAACTGGAGAGGCGTGATGAAAGTTTTCAGAGTGTTACAATTTTGCAGATTCACAATGTCAGTCCATGTTATGAATTAATAAAATTATGTTTCAGTAAAAAGTAAATAAGTGGTAGAGTAAAAAGGCACATGATGGAAAAAAATTGAATATTAAGATTTCTGTTGGTAATAATAGTTTTCCAACATTTGTATTGAATATTTCGACAGGATATGGAAGTACTGATATTCGCCTAAATATAAAAAAAAATTTTAGGGCAAGAATGTGGGCAAGGAAGGCCAGTCGGAAAGACCTTTTAGATAGTATTGATCTGCACAAAAGTCATAGGTTATGCGAAGATCATTTCGAAACAACAATGTTCACAAATCACCTCTGCGAACGGTTAAGTGCAAATGCATTTCCTACCTTATTTCCCCCTCTTGAAGAAGGTGCCAAAGGAATTCCTCCCGATCATACATATTCTAGACCAGGATTAGTACTGCCAGTGAAAATGGAAGGTCTTGAGAATAATGTTGGAGTTCCAGTTAAAAAAGAAGAAAGTCCAACGTTTAGCTCAGGTAACAGTATAGGAGTATAATATGATTGTAATAAAAGTTTTTTTTTGTATTAAAGGTTACGCATAACTGCAGAAAAACTTTTAGAATATATTAATACTAAAAACTGTGAATATTAAAAAGCAGTTGTCTCTGGATCTGTATATTAGAACCGCTCTAGGGATATCAAAAAATGTTTACGGATATTAACACAGATAAAAGTAGATATTTTAGACATTTTATTGTTGAATTATTACAGATAATGAATCTGATGTGATTGACGACCCATCCACTACTCCTGCAGATGCATTGACGTCTCCAACATCTACAGAAACAACGTCCACTTTGCGTTTTAATAGCCGGTCAAAGAGGAGATACAATAAATTGCCCTTTCATGGTCGAGTAGAGACATTGGAAAATAAGTTAAACGATGTGGAAAATAATTATTACTACTTTGGACAAACATAAACAAGGATAGAAAAATGAATGATGTAAGCGGTATGGCAAAGAATTTAAAGATGTGTGCTTATGATTTGTTTGCAAGGCCTAAAAGTGTAATATATATAGCCAAGGGGAGGAACTACGAGAAGAAATGCTGACGAAGTGGTTTAAAAATCATAAGCCGTTGCCTTTTTGGGCAATAAAATAATAATATTAAATTAAAAATTAAAATAAATTAAACGGAAGAACATTACAAGAAAGTGAAATTTATTAATGGTTTTAAAATTTCTATAACTAGTGCCCTAGGATTGTTTAACTATTTATGCTACTGCTTCGATTATCGATTTGAAAACCATTTTGGAATAATAAGGGGAAACAGCAACTGCGTGAATCCAACACCTATATCGTTTAACAGGTCATTTGGTGAATTACAATGTGCGGCATTGCTTCACATTTGAAAATGCCCAATGATGCGTTTGTAGAATATATATTCGAAGAAAACTTTTTATTGATTGTTAGTATGTTAATGTTAATTTTCTTACTTCCCCCATTTCCTCCCTAAATATGATCCTGTAAAATATTTTTATATATTTCGAAATATAAAATGAAAATCATGGACAAAACTGATTATTTCTTTTAAGAAAAACTATTCTATAAACATAATAAACCCAAGTACTAAAAAGCGTAATTTTCAGCAAGACTGTTCCCGATTCGTGTCAAATTGATTTGTTATTTGTCAAATCTGATTTAGTTTGTGATAATATTAAGATTTGCATTTAATTCATATTAAAATTTGTTAACTAAGGCAACTGCGCTGTTTGCCATACCAATATTCGTTGTGTGGGACGTAGACCACGGACAGTACAAAATGTTTGGATGAAAAGTGCAACGCCATGTTTTCTGCTTGTAAACTCAAGCTATTAGTGAAATAAACGAACATTAAAGTTGTCTTTTGTGGTTTCTTTCGGAGTGAACGAGCAAGGCATCTAACAATACATAGATAAAGTATGTTCATAGATATAAGAAAGTGACTAACTGATACGAATTAAGGAAAGACCCGGACAAGCTGTAAGAATGAAATGTGGCCGAACAGGTCCGTACTTTGCTTAGAATTTAATTATTTGGGGTTTTGTTAAGAAAAAAACTAAACAATATTTTTTTATTTATGTATGTATCTATGTTTAAATATAAAATAAAATTACAAATTATTTTTATTACCTACTTAAATTACTTAAAATTATTCACATAATATATCAGTATCACTATAGCTATCATCGTCTGTTCGAATTGTTATTTGTTCTATATTATTTGCAATATGGATATACGATTGTTCTGCTTGTTCTATATGTTTAACAGAATTTGCCCAACTTTGTGGAGGGATATTAAAAACTTCGGTTTCTATAAGTTTGACGACATTGGAGTTAACACGGGGAAAAATATTGTTACGACGAATGGCAGATATCAGTTGGTGCCAAACATGTTCAATAAGATTAAATATACAGTGGTAAGGTGGCCTTAAAACTGTATGCCCTAGATTTTTTGCATAATTATCACAGACGTATTCGTTTTGTAGGTTCAAGCTTTGTAGAACCTCAATTAATTGCGTTTTGGTATAATCTTCGTAAAAATAAATGTCGTTATTATACATGTAGTTTTGGATTGTTGCTTTTGTGTCACATGAGGAAGGGGTTTTAGTCGACTGTCTACTGCGATAGGTTGCATTGTCCATTACAATGACGCTATTAGGAGGAATATTTGGAACTAGTTTGTTTTTAAACCAACTTTCAAATAAATCAACGGTGTTGTCTTCATGGTAATCCAGAGAAGAATCTTTAATATTTTTCGCAGACAGAGAAAGTCCATTTGGAATCCAACCATCTTTAGAGCCAGCATGCAAAATAGTTATCGTTTTACCTCTTTTTGATGGCGGCTTTGTTTTACACTTATCAGTTGAGTCAACCCAACCCTTTTCCGGGGTATCATAAGTGTGGAACCAAGTTTCATCCAAATAAATAATTGGCCTTTGTTGTTCTCTGTAAATCCTATTTTGTTTCTAGATATTCCAGTCACTATTTCCGAATTCTAAAAGATTCCATTAAAACTTTCCTTTTGTCAATTTTTTTAAATCTAAAACCCATGTGTTGAATACACTTAAATTTTACGCCGTATTATATCTTGATCACTTTCATCTACACTCGACAAAATGTCCGCATCGTTTCTTTTTTTCATCGCTGAAAAGGGAATATTCTCAATTTTCCATACAGTTGATGTTGAAATTTTCGTCAATGTGGCCGTTTCTTCTAAAGATGCTTGCTTGCTGGCACCACGTCCAATAAGAGTCAAATAAACAGTGTTTGTAACTTCCTTAGTCTCAATAGAACAGTGTTTTCTATAGTTGAGCGGGAGCATCTCCTGAGATACACTAGACTCGCATATATTTTGTATAATTCGCACACAATTCAACACGCGCTGAATTACACACGCAATAAGAATGATTACTACTAATAAACTTAAATTAAGTAATATACCAAACCAAAGAATATTAAACACAGGTAGGTATAAAATTATTTTCTATTACGGACCACAATTTTACCTGAAATTAAATTCCGAAGCTTTAGGTAATAATCTTGTTGCATTGTATGTTAATGACCACTCTTGAATAATCCCATTCAAATGCAATTAGTCACTTTCGTATATCTATGAACAGACCATACCTAATAACTTTGGTGTCGCTACCTATTACGGCACTGCACTTATATACAAGAAAAATTAAATGAAAAATAAGCGGATTACTGAAGCCGATTCAATACATCAAATGAAACTTCGTTCAAAATTTTCAACTCCTAACGCAACGTTACACTGGAAAAGAAAGGCGCCTTAAAATAATTATAAATGGATGTGCCACTTTTCGTAACGGATGGAAGGAAGGCTAACGTTTTGCCGGTTGAAAAATCACAGACAATTTGAAAGTAACAATAGATTGTATTAAATCATATCAATCCTCGGTAATCTCAAGTTCAATGACTTGAAACAAAATACTGCGTGGGTAAAAAATGAGATGTTAATAACAGTAAAGTCGTCAATGAACCATTGCTTTTCGACTGTTTTCTGCGCAAAACAATATATTACATAGTAGAATTAATTTCTGTTGCGATAAATGTGATTAATTTGGACATTTGTATTCTATCTCCGCAGGGGACGTTGAAGCTTGGCTCGACGACAAATCGTTTAATCTGCATTAAAGCTCTTAATTATTGTATTACATGTTTAAACTCTGCGGGGCAGCTCGGCTCAGCTCGTTGTAATAGTTTTCCTACTTAACACAAACTTATATTGCTCCATTCCCGGAACTAATCAACTTTCCGCGAGTTTTTTTAGTCGTTTAATTATTAGCTAAACAGCAAAAAATCCAGGATTAATTAAGGGACCGAGGATGGCTCGCTTGGTAAGGCGTTGATCTGCCATCTCGAACTTGCTGGAGGTTGTGGGTTCGATTCCCACCGGGAGCCTTGGGTGTCATTTGCGTTTATCCGACCTTAACGACTTGCAAAAATTGCCTAATTTATTGATATTTATTAGTTTTATTTATTGATATAAGACGCGAGCTCATTGTATTAAGAAAAAGTATTAATTAATTAAATTAATTTTAATTATATAATTTAACAAATTAATATTGAAAAAAGGGTATTAATGTGAAGCTGCATCAAAAATAAAATTTTACTTTCAACGAGGCTAATTTAAAAATGCGTTTTGTATTTAATGAAATGAAAATAATTCGATAACAATTTTTCTTAATGGTATTTTGCTCAGGATAGATAACTTAACTTTTAGATGTACTACACATATTCTCGTATAGACTCGCTGTAGTTACAGACCGACCAATCCACCAAGTTTTGACAAAAAGTATGTTGTTGTGTTTACCCAGTAGAAATAGATATAAAGATTGTAATTATTTTTTTGGGAGAGGGTCCTTCCAAACCCAAGAAGTTCTTTAGCAATCATTTATTGTTCGGTTCGTTGCAAAATTCTGTCAATTAGAAGACAAACTCCAGGAGTTTCGATTTATTAAGCAGATAATTTCACCCAAGTTGCTTAAGGTTTCTGAAAGGTTCTATAAATTCTTTCAATTATATAGTTTTCAATGCCACTTTAGACCGCGGTTAAAAATTAAAAATATATAACTCAAATAAAAATATGGTAAGTGAGGTATGTCACAAACTACCATAACAACAAACCGCTGAAATATAATTTTAGGAAAATATAGTATGGAAAGCGACGACTTTTACAAACGACACTTGACAGATCTGGATTCACCCTGCGTCGGTTTTTTCTGTTGCCTTCAGATCTTGACTGAAACTACATTCTTGTCTTTACTTGCTTATAAACTGTTTGAAGGTGGCGGAGGTTAAGAAGGGATATGAATATTGTCTCGGATGACTGATTGCCATATTGGTGAGTCGCGTACGTAACCTTTTGCATAGACAACCGACGCAAAAGGAACCCAGAAGATTTGTAATAGTTTTACTGTACCAGGAGGAAGTTTCTTTGGGAGATTGGCACATTAGTTATTACACCTTAAGAACGAGCGGAGCCAGTGTTTAATAAATGAGTGCCTGAAGAGTTTTATATATGTGAATGTGTACTATACATACTTTACATTTTTGCATAAAAGCAATTTCTAAAATCCATCGAAAATATCCAAACACATACTTTATAATCTCAGCTCCAAGAAAATCGCTTAATTCGTTTAAAATCAACGGGAAATAAGATTTTATATTCTAAAAATTATGCCTAAATCGATGAATGTGTTTTTGTCAAATTCAAGTATTTTATTATTCAAATTTCATGTTCAGCGGCTGCCAAGAGATTTTCGAGAAAAAAACTGACAAAACGTCTAGCGATAACGATATTGCCTTGGCAGCATACCAAATTGAAAAGCTCAAAAAATATTATCGAAGTTACAAGGACGCAAAAGTTTTGTCGAAGAATTGCTTGTCGCAGTTCGACGTTTAAAAGACCAAAATCCGCAATCTATACTAACAATAACAAAAATGTTTAAAAAGATAATTTTGTTGATCGAGTTATATTTTAGTATTTTAAGTAGCTTGGGTTATCGATGTATAGTCACTTGAATTAGATGTAGCTTGCAGATAACTTTAATTAGTAGCTGAAGTGTGATATAATTGCAGAAGTGTTTGTGCAGGTAAAGTTTAGATGACCTGACCTCTAATGCTGCGAGTGAATCTATAAATTAACGTCACCCTCTATGACAAGGAATGCAGTATTCTGGTTGCAATTTGTCTCGGATGATTGATTCCCGTATTGGTGAAAGATAAATGCCTGAGTCGTGTTTAAGATTATTTGGTTGCTTACAGTTTTTTACAGATTAACGGAGTTTTCGTTGATTACACGCATGTATGGTTTCGTGATTGTGTTCGGATGAGTTTATCTGTCTTAGTCTTAAGACTCTTCTATATTCCTTAAGACTAGTTGATATTTTTGTTCATTCTCTACAATTTTGCCGCATATGTATAGAATGTTGAAAACTCCTGGTATCTGAAAACTGAATTTTGTCTTTGACGGATCAGAGATGTTGAGAGATTTTTGGACAAGTGAACTTTTCATATGTGGTCAGTAATGCCCTGAATGTAAGGAAGGACGACAGTGGCAAGCGTGGGGTTGCTTTCGGGCTCATTGTCATTATTATTAGTTTCTAATTCAATGGTAAAACGTGTGTTAGGGTGTATAGAGTTCAAATGGCTAAGAAAATCTAGTAGGAATTCTTGAACATGAGGCCAAATAAAAAAGGTATCATCAAAGTAGCGTTTCCATAATTTTGGTTTTAGATGAAAGGTGTCGAGTGGTTTTTATATCAAAATCTTATATCATTATATTCACGATGACTGGTGATAATGGAGAATCCATAGCTATTTCCGACGTTTATTCAAAAATTTGGCCTTTATAAGAAAAATACGTTCCGGACAAGCAATTAAGATGAGGAAGTTGTTGTTCCAGATTCTCGGATTTTAATATATCTGAAATAATATTGAGAGTTTTAGGAATAGACACTTTAGTAAAGAGAGATTTTACGTCAAAACTAACCAGAATGTTCTGTGGATATAATATAATGCTTTTTAATTGTTCATTAAAATGAAAGGAATTAAGTACAAAACGATCAGCTTTCCCTGTAATGGGTTTTAATATAGAAGCTAGATATTTTGCTAGAGAATATGCTGGAGAACGAATGGTGTTGACAATAGGTCGAAGGGGTAATTCTGGTTTGCGAGTCTTAGGGAGTAATATCTTGAATCTTTTACTGATATTCATTTGTGTTCATTATCAATTTAGAATTGCGATGTCGGGATTAGATTTTAGAGATTTCAGTGCAATGCGTTCAGGCTTTGGAATATTAGATTTTCGAGGTTATGATTTTTGCGGATTTAAATAGAATTTCATTAGCTGTTTGAGATGGCAATTTGTTAACGATAGACTCGACATTTGAAATGATTTTCTCTTTTGGGATAAAACCCGGAGTAAGGGCGAAGTTGAAACCTTTTGCAAGAACTGATTTTTCCGTATCAGAAAGTTGGTACGATGATGTACCACAGTCTTGGGTAGCTGAGGAGAGTTTTGATAGTTTTACTAGTGTTGACGTAAGTTTTTTTTTTTAATTTAAATGTGATTCTGGGTAGAAAGTAAGTGAATATTTTCAGCTTTGCCATGAATCATGCTGGAAAGGGTATCTAAGTCGGATGGAGACGAGGGGGTTTCAGTTAAGCTCTGAAGAAGCCAACATGATGATTGGCGAAACATCAGTAAATTGATTCAACAACTGACGCAGGAGGAATCCAGAAGTTTTGTAAGTAGTATTACAGTAGCCTGTGCAAGTTTCTTTGAAAAATTAACAAGGATCCAATCATGCAGAAAAAAGGAAGTGTTGACGTCATAACTAGTGCAACGGCATATCTCATTACACCCTACAACAACCCCCACAAGGAACATCAGGTAGCCTTCAACGGGCTGCTTACATTACAGCTAGTTGGAATCAAGCATTCATTTGGGCAAATGAAAATGCGACTTCCCTATTCTGAAGTATGGATGCAGTGCTAAAGTTTATAGTATTCCAGAACTTCTAATTAATAATGTGCTGAAAATTGACCTCAATAATCTATACATGTGTCGCACTTCGTTTAACTATCACCCATTCCTAACTAACCGTGCGCTGGTAAAACCGATCTTAAATCATTTAACAGTTATATTTTCTCTGGAAGTTAACGGTAAGTATCGCCGGGGGTAATTAAAATAAGTCAAACACAAAATTAACTTCAGGGTGCATAAATTAATTACGTAATCAAGTGGTAGGAATCGCGATGTTTCCGAGAGCGGTTTGTTCTCTGGTGGGGATTTGCGAGACTTTGGACACGACGCCGACGGGTGGGGAATGAGCAACCCCGTTCGAACTGACCGGATTAGCCAAACTTACTTCAATTAGTAGTTATAAGAGGGGGTCTGCGAGTGATAAAATTCGAACCCTAGATTTGCCCGACAGACATGTGTCTCGTCAGGCGGATATAACGTTATTTACATGCAGTCGCCGCCGCCGGGGCAAAGTCAAACAGGAAACACGAAACAAATCGCTCCACGCTACTCTTTTTGTTGCAAATTTAATTTGCTCCGTGCAACCAGGAGCGGTATCGTCACAGGCTAAGGGAAGATTATTACATTTTTCGTCTCCGTAATTATGTTTCGTTATGAGCGGATTTAAGGAACCGCCAATATCCCGCCCTGGGGTGATATAAAGAGACTTTAGAGTTATGGTTCGCTGTTATGATTTTTTTTGGTATGGGCTACGGAAAATCTTTGGTTTATATAGAGCAATGCTTCTACTCCAGGATATAAAAACTTTTTGATAGTAACCTTAGATTTAGGAAGCAAATCTAATATAATTGACTGGTAATTACAAAAAACAGCTATACGAATCTTTGCTTTTTTAGAATTGTAATTACGCCAATATTGGCAATGTCCCATCATATCTCTTCCTGTTAAGTCCAAGGGTAGACTACAGAGAATTCAGAACTAATGGGTATAATTTATTTCTAATCCTAAAATTACGTTTCCTGCAATTTAAGAATGGAGGGGTGACTTACTTCGCAGGATATAGTGAGAAATTACATTTAGCTTATTCTATGCATCTATTATTAAGATACACTTCAATATCGTAGCCAAAAACTTGTATTTAGATGTACAACTCATTACCGCGAAGCTAGTCAAAATAACCAATTTAATATATCGCGTCATAAAACGACTCTTTTTGAGTGCACTGTGCCATAAGTGACTGCTAAAATATTCACTTGTGAGATACAGTTGTTGCTACGTAACCTTTGAGTTGCTACTAACATAGAAGTATGCGCAGACCTAGCCAGTGAAGTCCGGGTGGGTCATCGGTTTATAGTTCGAGACAGTTTTTAATTGGGCGCCAAGTATTTTATCGCTCACATACACTTCTCTCTAAATAACACGCTGAGATTAAACAAAAAAAAACACTAAAAATCTCGACCGGAACTGGAAATTACACTATGCAGTGGGCAATAAAACGGTTGATGAGATTCAGTTAATATAATAACATCGATACAACTGGGGTGACTTTACAATATGTGACACCCCATAACATTTCTAAAAAAATCGCGCAATAAAATAAACCTGAATCATGAATGGCCAATAATATTCACCCAAACCTAGATCATATCTTGGCTGTTGAAATTGGAATTAAATCCGGTTGAAACACACAGTAACGTACAGAAACAATAGAAGTACGATGTTTATAGCTTATACCTCATACAATGTACTAGCGGACCATCCAAAAGAAAATATGTATAGGTAATATCTACCGGAGTGTATGGTAAGTATATAAACGATTCGCAAACTGTCTTTTTATTCCCCTAGGGGGTACTTATCCTTGTCCAATCGGTTGGTCGCGCGGGGCTGATGGCTCTGCAAATCCTGCAAACTGAAACTACAGGCTCGGTGAGGGAATTTGTGGATATTACGTTGGGGATGACAGTGAGCAAGTGAGCAAGATGGCTTCCTAGGTCGCAACAATCTCAATCGGACTACTCTCGTAAAGAGAAAGACAAAAAACACTTTTCCAAGTTGGTGAGCCAAAAATAAACATTTAAAACCTTCCAAAACGAAATATGAGAAAATATCGACCACTTAAAGCTAAGGGCGCCGACATATTTACGGTAGGACTCTTACCTCAGGAACACCAAACTGACGAAATAGAATCAGTGGTATGACAAAGTTTCGAAATACCATAACACAAAAAGGTAAAGGTAAAGTAAAATATTTTTAAAACTCTGGGTTGTTTCAACTATTTTTCCTTCAGTTCTTGGAAATCACTTAAAAAAATATAATTGACCGACATATCTCTATAATTTCTAATGTAATTGAAGCTATCAAGTGTGATCTTCCATTTTCCTACAGATGTTTCAAATTCTCATCTTTTCTGATCTATCCTTAGCTTTTATTAAGTTCGTAAAAAAAAACTATATGCTGTAACCTCAAACAGAAGATGGAGATTCTGGTTTTTACTATTGGGTAACTCTCAAAAACAATAGTTAATGGTTACTAAGATCTCCTATAGAAACATCCAATTTTGCCAATAGAAAAATCTTTTTTAATGTGACAATTTTGCTCTTCATTGGCGATTTACAAATAATGACTTTCAGAATTCTTACAATTCGGCTGCATCGTTAACTTCAGATAAAATCGTATTTTCACAAACGAAACGGAATATACTTCCTAGATGTCGTTTTGTTTGTAATTTTGGAGTTTTTGATAATGATAACTCTTTTTCTAAATCAGATGTGTTTCTGCCATTAAAATCTACTTGTACGGCAGAAAATTACGCAAAATGGTATTCTCCCGTTATCGTCGTTGCCCTAACTCAAGTATTTATCTTGATAAACTGAAGTTTCTGCACCGTTCACGTAATTTCAAGAGATTGATTGTTTCAATTATTCGATAGATAAATTACGCGAGGTATCGATTGGATTTTATTTGAATTTTTATACAACTTCCTCGTTACAAGCTGAAAAAATAACCTAATAATAAAAGTACATATCGGGTTTAAACTTCAGCATGTAAGCAGGCGTACTGTCACAAAAAATATATATACGCAATAAAGGTTGCGTTGCGGAATGAAAACACTTGAACATACTAATCTCTGACCCAAAGATAGTTCGATAAAGACGTTCAAATTGCCTTAAAAATAGCGTGCCAAAGTATTGTTATTTAAATTCTACAGTTGAAAATCAATATGAGATATTTACGGTTTTTGTACCCATCCTCAGTAATTTTGAAAATTTGCTTAGAATAGAATAGAATAGAATTTATTGGCCATTCAGATACGTCACAAAAACAACAAATGGTACGTCAAAGGTTAACAATACAAAAGAATTTATATATATAATATAAAAGGTTGTACAAATTTTGAGAACTAACACACTAACGCAGTGGTCTATTCAAGTGTAGTATGTTTGATCAACTCCAAGTTTTCATTAATATCATAGAAAGGATTATCAGTAAAAAAACTTTTCATTCTCTTTTTAAATTGTCTGTATGGTAGATTTTTTATATTATTTGGGAGAACATTATACAGTTTAACATTAATCTTATTGTTTTGTGAGGACGTCAGTCTGGAGTGAGGTGGGGTGATCATGTCAACATACCTAGTATTATACTCATGTCTATTGCCAAGTGTTCCATAGACATCCGCGTTTTCGTGAATATACAGGATAGATCGGTATATATAAGTAGAAGGCAGCGTCATAACCTGGAAGTCAGAGAAAATGGGCTTGCAGTGGGCAATCGGGTTGGCACCGCAGAGCACCCGCACAGCCTTCTTTTGCAAACGAAAAGCTCTTTCCGTATATCCAACCCCACCCCAAAGCACAATGCCATAAGACAGCACACTATGAAAAAGCCCAAAATAGGCTATCCTAAGGGCCGCCGGGGTTAGACAATGGCTGAGATGTCTCAGTAGGAACAGTCGCCGAGACAACGTTGCACAGACCTCATGAATCTGGCCTGACCATGACAGAGTCCTGTCAATTACGAATCCCAAGAGGGTTATATTATTTTGATACAGATAGTCGACTTTACTGCAGGAGAAGGTAAGTTCTTGAGTTTTTTGTTTATTGAGGACTAAGTTATTTGCAGAAAACCATTGCTGGAGAACATTTGTTGCTACGCTGACATCTTCACTAAGCATTCGTTGATGCTTAGCTGTTAACAGAATGGCAGTGTCGTCAGCAAACAAGGTGACATTCGCATCTGGCACGGACAATGGCAGATCATTTATATAAATGATGAAGAGCAACGGCCCAAGAACCGAGCCCTGTGGGACACCGCAGCTCACTGGAAGAGCATCATCACTCGACACTCCACCAAACTCAACATACTGAAACCTGTTACTAAGATACGATTTTATTAACTTTAGAGGGATACCTCTGACGCCATAAAATTTTAATTTGTTTAAGAGCACATCGTGATCGACGCAGTCAAACGCTTTCGTAAGGTCGTACAGAAGTGCCTTTGATACGTCGCCAGCATCGAAACCCCGCACCACACTGTTCACAAAGTGCATAAGTGCATGGGTCGTGGATTTCCCCTCACGAAAGCCAAACTGCGATTCACACAGAAGTTTATTTTCCTCAAAAAACAGTGACAGGCGAGCCTTCAGGGCTTTCTCAATGACTTTACCGAATATAGGGGTAATTGCAATGGGCCTAAAGTTATTTGGTGTATGTTGATCGTCTTTTTTGTGAATTGGAATTATTTTTGAAAGTTTTAGATCCGAAGGAAATACACCACTCGAAAACACTGCGTTCGTTATGGCTGCCAGGGGACCCACGATGTACTCAATGGTGTGTTTCAATATTTTTGAATTTAAGCCGAAGCAATCGGTAGAACTTGAGTTGTTTAGACCCATAATAATGCCATACATCTCACTCTCAGAGACCGGGCTTAAGAAGAAAGATTTACACGGAGAGGGTGTTTTCGTAAGGTACACATATGGGTCACTGGATTTCCCAATGGATGATACTAGGTCATTTACTACATTGGAGAAGTAAGAGTTAAATTCGTTTGGTGTGATTGAGTTGGGTATAGCCTTTGAGGCTCGGTTAGTTTCATGGTTAATCAAGGTCCAACAACTTTTGCTCATGTTGCTGGCTCTAGTTATAAAATTGGCATATGCCTTGGATTTTGTTTCTTTGATCATTCTTTTGTAGTTAGCATTAGCCAGTCTATACTCAGCCCAACTGTCGCGTGGGGAAAATATTCGACACTTGGCTTTTAAAAGCATCACGTGATCCCTCATAAGTTTGAGGTCACGATTGAACCAGACCACGGGGGGACGGAAGGAATTACTGCGCTTTACGACTTTAAAGTGATTCTGGATATTGGCGGTGAAGATATGAAGCAGTTCTTTTGTTGAGTTGATCGGATCGGCGTTAGTATTAATAAAAGGTTCCCAATCGGTGCTCTCAAAACTTGTGCAGAGGTTATTCAGACCCGCCCGGGTAATTGGTCTGAATTGAATATGGTCATCGTGCACAGAGGAAACATCAAAGTGTAATTCCATAAAAACAGCGGAATGATCAGAGAGTGCTGGATCCTCACTGCCCGCAGTGAACAGAGTGGGGGATATATTGACAAGGAAATTATCAATGCAACTTGACGTAGTTTCAGTTATACGGGTATGGTCAGCGACACTAGGGGAGATTCCAAAGGTGGCAAGTAAGTTGACAAAATCCATCGTTAGAGCATTTGAAGTCAGGTTGAATTTGATATTAAAGTCACCTGTAATAATAAGTTTTCTCTTCTTAGAGTAGAGGTCATTTAAAAGAAGTTCTAGCCTGGATATAAATAGATAAGGGTCGCCGTGGCTCCCCGATCTATATACATTGATAACTACGGTATTTTTGTGGGTTAATTCAATGCCGCAAAATTCGGCATGGATGTCTAGTGAGTATTTATCTAAATCTAAAGTTCTACAGTTGACTTTGTGTTTGCTATAAATTGATACGCCCCCTCTGACCGCAGTCTGACGGCATCGAAAGCTTTTCAATAGAAAATTATTTACACATATTGATTTTAAAAGTTCTTCATCACAGACAAAGTGTTCAGACAGACAGAGAATATCTACATTTTTATCCAGCAAATAACCGTTGAGTAAGTCAATTTTACTAGAGAAACCATGAATATTTAAGCTAAGAATACTTAGAGTACCTTTATTACTTGGGTTGCTGCCCCGAAGCACGCCGACCGAAAAAACGATTCACGAGCACTCCAGTGGGCCAAATGGAAGGATTAAGAATCTTCTCTGAGTCAGCGTCCAACACCGTGCACTTGAAAGATGCATAACTTTCAGGGAACATGGATCGAATTTGCTCCACTTGAACCTCCGCAACCATAGGCTTCAGATATTCTTCAATGTCACAGGCTCTAGTCGTCGGATGCACCTTGGAGATGTGGAACTGTGTCCTTCTGGTTGCTACCTGTAACTTACAGGACGCAGGGTCTTTAAGACTGCCCACTATCGGCTGAGGTCTGGAAGTGAGCTTGGGACGAGGTGGTCTCTCCACTTTTGTTTGGGGTGGACGGAGATCACTGGCAGGACCGGAACCAGGAACAAGGTTGTCGCTGGAGGTCAAGCTGATGATCTCGCTGCACTTATTCCGCACTGTAGCCTCGTGTAGAGCACCACCAACAGTCGATTCGGTTAATCTTTGTTGTGGGGCTGTAGTTCTCCTCCACCCGTCAGCCGGCACATCAAGTTTAGTGCCTGGATTACGTGCCCCGCCGACAACAACGGGAAGAACCGGGCAGACATGGGATGCGGACTCTCTATTTAACATAGCCATCTGATCTTGAAGGGAATTAATAACCATTAACTGGTAACGTATTGTTTCATCTTTTTGTTTGAGCAGCTCTTTCAGATACCGTATTTCAGTGAGATGGTTACTGGATATGTGATCAGCCAACGGCTGGTCGCTGGTATTCCCTGCGTCCACAGTGGCGGATTCAGTGGAGGCGGTGGAGGGCCCAGCGGTCTTGTCGACGACGCGAGGGTCATATGTGCAGCAGTCTATTTTATCATCCTGCAGAATTTTAACGAATTTACATATTTTGGCACAAGACTTGTGCATTAGAACACCACAGACGATGCACTTCAGACCCGTGCCAGCAACACCGTCACAGCGCTTACAGGCTTTTTGCACCATTGCTATACGTCAGTTTAAGTTATTTAGCACAAAACCGAAAACAATCGGATCCGAACTGTACAATAAGTTTTCTACGAACCGTGGGCGGAAACAACCTTTTCACGCGCTCTCCGAAAGGCAAAAAAAAAGGTGGGTGATCCTAAGGAAATAAACCGATCGGTTTATACGCGTAATAAAGAATGATTTCAATGACACCAATAAGTACTGTAGTTCACACCACACTTATGTTATTAGTAAAACACTTTTGAAGATTTAATTTGAACTTTAACTACGATTTTAAGGAAGACACGTGGAGAGAGCACTCAGTAGCTTGTGGTCCGCTTACGCCCTAGATCTTTTAAATATCCGAAAATCAAGCTTTACGTAAAATGGATAAATTGAATTTTTCAGTTGATTTTGAAAAATTAAGCCATCATAATTGTTTACTGGCGCATTATTGAATATGTCAATGGTTTGGTATATTATTAAACCACATAATTAAATAAATAAATAAATAACTTAGAGTGCAGATGCTATTTGAAGTGGAAACATGATAATGACTTAAATGTGAAACTGAGGTGAAACTTTTGAATGGTTTTAAATGAGCTAAAGTAAATGTAATTTTAAATGTGTTCAAGTTAATAAAAAAACAAAAATATTGAAGTTAAACATTAACAAATAAGTTCCAAACTAACAGTCTAAATTCCAAATTATTGTAGTAAAATCTTACTTAAATCTTGAACGAACACATAGAAAAGCAGTAATAATTTATCTTTTTCCTATTTACGTACTCTCGGTTGCTGGATATTTCAAGCTGTTTCCATGATATTCGCTTTTGAAGATTCGATTGCACATATACCAGAAACATACATTTTATAAAGTGTGTCGAGAATGTTGCTATGGCAACTGTTATTGTAAATTCTTCAAAAGTTAAGTTTTACTTTCGTCTTTGCCGCCCCGTTTGTTGAAATAATCTTATTTTGATTTATAATCTCAGATATACAGATACAAAGATAAATATGCAAAGCAAGCATTCTTTTAAGGGCAATAGCGTTTTTCTTCAAAATAACCAATGAATGGTAATTCTCTGTACTCTGTATGTACTGGTAACACTAAGATGTTTTAAAGAAGTTTTAAATTCCATTACGTCATCTTTAAGTAATTTTACTAACCCTTGAAAAAATTTAGTATTTTCAGCATTTAATGTTTCTTCCAACTTCCAACCAGTTCATGAAATGTCTCGGACATTTTTCCTGCGCATGAGTAAATGAACCACAAGTACCAAATAATGTTTTTACTTTGTCGCCTTCGTCATACTTCCCCTTGATGTCTCGTGAAGCTAACTTTAATACTACTTACTATTATACTAGATAGTAGGTATCTTTGAAGAAGTACAATCAGGGCAACGTACAACACAAATTTCAGACCAGTAGGGTTAAAATTTATAAATTGACTTTTTTCACTGTCCTCATAAAATAGTGCACAACCATATGCTTGACTTTTCGTCTTAATGGATATTAACACGACACAGATAATTCTGTTCTGTGCTTTAAGCTATTTATTGATTTGGTGTAAAGTACCTTTTAATATATGTAATATTTTATAATTGTAATTTATGACTACTGTTCGCTGATTTTTTATTTTAATTTACTGTCTGGAAGTCTAATAGGAAACAAATTTAGTATGCATTTGGAATACGAAGTTGCAATTAAGAATGAAAAAGGATGCAAGTCTACCTCTAAATTTCCTCAACACCTCTCAGACACTGACGGTATGAAAATACATAAGCCGTTACATTTAATTCGATAATTGCTAATGCCGTAAATCGCTGATAAAAATAATTAGAATCGCTAGCGATATTTCACCAATAAGAAACAGTTTGTTGCGGCAGTTTGGTTGTGTTAGTGAAAATAAAAACGCGACGTAAAGTTAGACTTGTTCGATCATAAAATAATGTAACAGTGATTGCGCGTTCCGCATTTTTAGTTCCCAATGTACCGCTACATTGATATAAGCGCGAGCAGCATTTTTTAACTAAACTTCATTAAACCGCAAATTCTAATTTTAAGTTAGGTACAGGCTATTAAATTTTGCCCAGTAGTAGTATTTTTATTGATTTATTTATGTATTGACTGGATTACCTCATTAATTTTAAAATATTTACAAAATATAATAATACCTCTAAGGTTGTTCAGTTATCTTAATTATAATAAATACTAGATTACAAAAAAAACTTAATTCCTAAATACTCTTAATTTACAACACATCGGTCTTATTGATTAAACTAATAAACTTGCTCTTCGAGATGCCGGTGACTAATACGTTGTGCTGACAATTAATTCAATATACGTGTGAGTATATAAGAGAAATCAATCCAAATAAAAAATTCATTATTAAATACCAAATTCCTAATAGAAACGCGAATCTTTATTTTCTCTAGTAATTAAGGAAAGAATAAATAAAAATTAAGAAGTTCAAAAATAAAGCATATACGGACGAAGTTTCAGAGAATCCATCTTAAGCAGAATTTCAATTCGCAAATTATAGTACGGTCTTACGGTTCATAGATATAAGAAAGTGACCAATAGCCTCTGAATGGGGTTATCCAAGGGTGGTCATTAACATACAATGCAACAATGGAAAAGAATTTTATACTTACCTGTGTTTAATATTTTTTGGTTTGGTATACTACTTAGTTTAAGTTTATTAGTAATCATTCTTGTTTCCTGCGTAATACAGCGTGTGTTGAATCGTGTGCTATTTATGCAAAATATGTGCGAGTCAAGTGTATCTCAGGAGATGCTCCCACCCAACTGTAGAAAACAGTATTCTATTGAGACTAAGGAAAATATAAACAATGTTTATTTGACTCCCATTGAACATGGTGCCAGCAAGCAAGCATCTTTAGAAGAAACGGTCATTTATTTTTCCGAAGATTATACCAAAACGCAATTAATTGAGGTTCTACAAAGTTTGAACCTACAAAAGGAATACGTCTGTGACGATTATGCAAAAAATCTAGGGCATACAGTTTTAAGGTTTCCACCTTACCACTGTATATTTAATCCCATTGAACATGTTTGGCACCAACTGAAATCTGCCATTCGTGGTTACAATGTTTTTCCCTGTGTTAACTCCAATGTCCTCAAACTTATAGAAACCGAAGTGTTTAACATCCCTCCACAAAGTTGGGCAGATTCTGTTAAACATATAGAAAAAGCAGAACAATCGTATATCTATGGCAAATAATATAGAACAAATTATAATTAAAACAGGCGATGATAGCGATAATGATACTGATATGTTATGTGAATAATTTTAAGTAATTTAAGTAGGTATTTTTTAGTATTTTAGTATTTTTCGTAACAAAACCCCAAATAATTAAATTCATTCATCAGAAAAAAATCCTTTGTTAGAGAATCCAAACACCTTCACTAACTAAAATAAACCTGTAATAAACAAAATAATCAAGTGAGGCGTTGGGGTGCAAATAATCCGTCTCAAGTATATCTAAAGAGATTGCCGTTTACCTCCAGGTATGTCGTATTGCACTAATGAAAATGAGAACCGCGCGACCCACATTATCCAAAGTTCGTAAAAGGTTCTTAAATAAAGCATTTTACCTGGGGACTTTAAAAAAAAAATTATCTTACGTACATGGCCAATAACCAAAAAGACATTTAAAAACGTGGACTTTTTAGAAAGTATTTCAATTAAAGCATTCCGTTTTACCCTTACTTTTTGCGTTGGAACGTGATGAAAGTGATTTTGATTAAAACTTTGATTCGATGCCTGTTGAATAGTCGTGTATAAAAAAAATCTAACACATTAAAACCAAAGTTAACTTAGGTGTTTTTTTAAATACGACGGTAACAATCGAACCATATACCCTAAACCAAAATCATAAAAAAATTGAAA